GGTTTGGGCAACAGCGGCTCCAACCGCATGGCCTCCCCATCCTCCTCCACCCCGGGCCTGGGGCTGGCTGAGCTGGGACCTTCCCCGCCCCGGTGCCCTCCACGGAGCGGTGATGCCACGGGGCAGGCTGTAACCATCTCACCCGCTGCATCTTTTTGTCTTCCCTGCAGAGTAAACGGGCTCCTCTCCTGCATTTGTCCCCCCGTTGCTCCCCACTGTGCCTCCCTGGAGGAGCCGATGGTGGAGGAGGCCATGGCAGAGCCTGCGGGTGCAGCTTGTCTGGGCTGACGGTGGGCAAGGGGCTTCAGGGCCTGCCACGATGCCAGCACTGGTGTCACGGTGGGGGTCTGCAGGCGTTTCAGCTGAGCTCAGGGTTATTTAGGGCTGTGACAGCCCTGTCCTGCAAGAAGTGCCCACTCACTGTGCCGGGGAGCTCCGTGGGTGCTGGTGGGTGCCCCTGGTCCAGGCTATGGTCCAGGTTGCCATGGATATCGATCTCCAGGCAAAGGGATGCGCCTCCCACTAGATGTCGCTTCTGCCCGTGCCCCAAGCATCCCCTGAGGGTTGGGGTACCCAGGCGTGGGGGTCCCACATCCCCCCCCAGCACCCCCAGGGCTGGCTGGGCACGCAGCCCCCACTGTGCCCCCCGTGTCAGCTTTGGCCAGGAGCTGAGCAGCTCCTCCGCTGATGGCAGGGAGAACTCGGGGGCTGTGATGCCAAAAACCCCCCACCTTGCCCCAGGTAGCCTGATCCTGGCTACCAGGTGCCCCCGGCTGCGAGCCAAGCCAAGATCGGGGGAAGCAGCCTGCTCTGTCAGCTTTGCTGGCTGGGCACAGCCCACGTCCTGGCCCCCCAGGACCCCCAGACCCTCCCAGCCCTTGCACTGGGGCGCAGCGCTGGCTGCGGGGTCTGCACAAATGGGTGGCTGCGCATCTCTGGAACGAATGCAGGGCCCCCGGATCCTCGCAGCCCCCACAGCGCTGGCTTTCAGCTCCGCTGAGACACAAAAAAAGGAGGGAAAAGTGGAAGATGGATGCTCGGAGCACCCCCAGCCCAGCCGCCCTCCCCTAGGACACAAAAGCCCCTTTGAGGACTGATTTTACACCGCTCCCGCAGAGATGCCCGAATTAGCATCAGCAAAGGGAGCTGCCGCGACAGGCGTTGTCAGTGCTGCTGTAAAGTCATTAAATTAACGGGGCACCCCAGCCCTGTGCCCAGCGAGGGGGTGTCAGGCCCAGCATGGTCCCCGTATGCACCGGGGGGGATGTTTCCCCAAAGGGCTGGGGCTTGGCAGCCACATGGTGCCCACCGAGCCGGAGCTGATCCCCAGACCACCGAGCTCCCACCCGTCCCGCAGCCAGGGGACCCCATGGGCACCATGGCAGGGGACCGGCTTGGGGTCTTTCTGCATCCGGATGATGCTGGGGGCAGCTGGGGGGCGGGGAGCCGGTCTGTGCCCGTCCCCCCCGCCGAAGTTTCCCATTTTGCACAAAGACGGTGGCGGTGGCAATTGTCCGGGCTGCATCGCATTACCCAGGGCTCCCGGAGAAATCACTTGTATTTCACGCTCCATTGAGCAGCTGCCTGTATATATTTTCTGTGTTGCACTTTTAGCATGACAAAAGGAGAGGGCCTGTGAACTCCTTGCTCTTCAGACCTCTCCGACATGTCCCCTGAGCGGAGCCCCCCTCGGTTAGCATAACAAACTGCCACGCTCCCTCCGACGTGCTCCGGCTCCCGCCCGGCCCTTTCCCCGGGGTAATTTAATGTATAGCTCAATATTTGGGCGTCTGGGTCGCTGGTGGCGGCGGGCGGGCGGGCCAGCGTGTGCTGGGGGCTTCGGAGGCAGGGATTTCGGCAAGGATGTCCTTCCGATGCATCCATAGGGGAGCCAGCCTGGCTCCACGTCACCCACGCTGTGTTTAACTCAACACCAGAAGCCCCGGTGGGACCCCGCAGCCCTCCCTGGGGAGGGGACCGAGCCCCAGCAGCCCTGGCTGGAGGCGGCACTGGCTCCAGCACCCTGATGCCAAGCGAGCAAGCGGAATCGCTAGCCCCTGTGGTGACCCTGTGCATCGTCCCCTGCCTGCTCCTGGAGCTGCAGGTCTCCAGGCTCTGCTTTTGCCTTGAAATTTGAATTAAAGATAGAAAAATGGGAGCTGCAGGGCTGGAGTTTGCCTCAGGACCAGCGGCACCAGCTGGGGCTGGAGCAACCAGTCAGTGCACTGGGAGCTGGTGGTGTTGGCTGGGTGTTTGTCCCTCCCAGGTCCCCATTTGCACAACCTGTCCCACCCGTCCCCCACCAGGGCCACCCCTGCAGAGCCCTGTGGACCGGCAAAGCAAAGCCAGACCCAGTTCCCAAGTCTGGGGTGGAGACAAGGAGAGGGAGAAGGAGCAAGGGTGAGGTGAGATGTGCCTGTCCCCAGGCCAACCAAGCCCAAAGCTGGGCTCCTCCTGCCGCCCCCCAGCCCAAAAGGGACAGGACACCATCCCCTGCGAGGCTAGGAACCCCTCGGGGCACCCCTCACCTCCCGCTGCGGGGAAGGAGAGGGCTGGCGAGATAAAAGCTCAACCTGCTGGGAAGGAAACACACCCTGGACACCAGGTCCCACAGGGATTTGGGGTGTCCTGCAAGAAAAAGGGGCAAAATCCTGCTCAAACACCAGTGGCGCAAGGGAGACCAGGCTGCGACGTGGCTGGGGGCTTTGAACACCTTTAATGCACGTGAGGTTTTTTTTCTCTTTCTCCTTGTCAGGCTGCAGACCTCGTCCCCCCGACGCCTCGGGCTCGGTGGCAGCGGCTCTGTGTCCCTCCAGCTTCCCGGGATGTCATCTCGCCGTCCGTGCACCCCGCCTGGCACCATGTGGGGGGCACCCCTGGGTGGGACCCCCGGGCACGTCTGGCTTCAGCCGGGGGGATGCTGATATGGGAAGGGAGGGAGCAAACCCTTGCCCTGGGGACGGGCAGGGCATCTGCACGCACCCTGCACACGCGTCCAACCCAGCCTTGGTTTTCCTCCAGCCTCTCTTGGTCACCTGGACCCCACGGCGTCTGCTCATGTCAACTGTTAATGGGAAAAACTGGTGTGAGCCCAGGCCCAGACCAGTGAGAACTGGGGCTGAGTCCCCATGGGACGGCCGGGAGGTGACTGTGTCACCACTGGGCCAACTCCCCACCCGAGTAATTCCTGCCGTCCCTGCAACCCCAGTCCCCATCCCTCCATGCATGTGGGGACTCTGGCAGGGGGGACAAGCAGGAGTTTGGGGTCAGCGGGTATTTAAGTGGCTGGTGATGCCCTGGGGCATCTTGAAAGACGGCAGGTGACAGCAGGAGCGTGAAAAAACACGTTGCTGCTGGTGTCTAACGGGGAGAAGAGCTCCCACACGGGCAGGAGAGGAAGTTGTGCCCTGCAAAACTCATGCAAGACCTTTAAGATGATGCTCCTAAAGCAGTGAGAGCTCTGGGGGGATCTGAGCACTGCTGTGGGGTTCACGGGGTCCCCCCGTCCCGCTCCGTTCCCACGGGCTGCTCCAAAAAATCCTCACCGAGAGCCACACATCGT